AGAGCACACAGAGGGATGTTCAGGGGCCGAGAGCACACAGAACGGGATGTTTAGGTGCCGAGAGCACACAGAGGGATGTTCAGGGTCCGAGAGCACACAGAGGGATGTTCAGGGGCCGAGAGCACACAGAACAGGATGTTCAGGGTCCAAGAGCGCCCCCGGTGTGATGTCCAGGGTCTGAGAGTGCACAGAACAGGATTCAGTGAGGACCTCACCCCCCGAATCCGAAGTGGGGTCCGGAACTCAACCCCCCGGCCGAGGTCTGAGAAGATGGGGCGAACAGATGGCTGCTGGGTGATTGGATTAGGGTTTGCAGTGTTGGTACGGAGACGCAGGCGAGCACAGGGCTTCCTCGGCCATACAGACCTCATGCTTGGGCCTCTGGCTCTCCTCGAAATCTCCTGTGCCCTGCAGAGTTGGGCTGTGCCTGTGCTGTAAAACTAATTCAAACAAGGCAGGATGTACTAATTCAAGGGTTAAGCTCCAGCGCTCAGTCCTTCCATTCCAGTCCCATAGTGCTTTAATAGAGTCACTATCCTGACTGACTACTGATCCTATTAGGCATGAGTGAAGTACTAGTGAACACGCTGGTGGATCTGGCCGAGTAACCTGACAGGGCTAGGACTGGACTGCGGCCGACTGCCCGCGCCAGGAGCCGGACTGCTCTGACCCACGCGTGTTCGGGTTTACAGGTGGAGAGGAGCTGCTAGCTACGGTACTTCCTCAGTGGATAAAACACGGGAGGCGCTGAAGTAACGGCCAGACAGAGGAGCGGCGACATCGCGCGAAAGGAGAATGACGGACACGTACAGACAGTCATGAATAATAGACTTTGGGCCAGAAGGACGAACTCAAACACGCAAAAACGGGCACATGCCAGCCTCTAACACCGACAGCCCAAAGAATTTGCACAGCAAATCTCGCGGAACGTATTCGGGAAAAATTGTTCAGGTTATTTGTTGATATCCACAAGGACTTTACCTCCCCAGCCAAAAGACAAAAACTGCAGGAAGAGATCCTTCCTTTTTGAAACAGTCCCGTGGGGTTTATGTGTGCCAGACAACAAGGTAGCGCACAATAGATTTACGGGAGGAACGGACGAGCACCAAGCGCGGCAGAGACTACCCGGGTAAGATACCCTCTGAGACACGTGTGTGGGGCTCCGAGCTGCTCGGCATTGTTTGACGGGGAGCCCGCCCCCTCGGCCGCGCCGCCATTGGTCGGCGACACCAACAAAGGGGCGTGAGGCGGCCGCTGATTGGATGGTCCCGAGGATGTATTCCGAGCAGCTGGGATTCCCCTGGGGTCCGACCGCCCCCCATTCCACATACCCCCCCCCGCCTTCTCCTTGCCCGAGCGATTGTACGCGAGCGAACCCGAACCGGACGCACCGACACGGTACAGAGCGCGCCGCGAACAGATCGGGTCAGCCCTGCAGGGAGAGCGCTGGGCGCGGAGGAGCGGCACAGCGGCCGGCGGAACAAAGTGAGTGTTGCCTTATTTATGCGAGGGAAAAGTACAGCACGCAGAAAAGAGATGCCTGGGAGTCTTGCTGGCTCTCACCCCGGTCTCTTCATTTGCCTTCGGTCGGGCAAGAGCGTCTCAGCCGCCCCTCGCCTCCTGCACACAGCACGGAATATCGCGTCGAGACCTGAACAGGCAGTAACAAAGCCGTATAATATACATCACGGGTGTGAGGGGGGCTGGGGTGGGGGGCAGTTTCATCAATCTCCGATTTGCACGGCTGGCTCAGATAAGCCGTGTCAGTTTCTCTCTGAGCGCTGAGGCCAGAGACCTCCCCGTCGAGTGACTTTTGGCGTCTTGTCTGCCCCTGACGGTTTCTCCAGCGCCCAGACCGCAGACCCAGAGAGCCGCTCCCGTGACTGGGTCTCTGATCTTACATAACGTGTCAGCGGTCGATCGCCTTGTACAGTATGCCTTCAATATCAGCTTGAAATTGATGAACCACACTCTGCTTCTGCTTTAATTACAGGGTGCTGTATATGGCTCTGGTTTAGTTAGCCAGTATAACTGCAGAGGCAGTCTATAGAATATGAACTCTCGCTACAGACAGGTGTAGAGTAGGTGTTCTGTAATACACATTACTCAAGTGTATGTTATACATCTACACCCATATACTGCCGCCAATATAAATATATATCACAGTGCTCATAAAAACAGAGCTGTATGCCCAATCTTTACATAAACGCAGAGATCTTACGTATCAGACCGGTCACTGATAAGAATCTATAATTAGTTACGCAATGGCCACGTTGAAATAACATCACTGAGCGCAATACTCCTACTTATGTGTCAGCCGTAGAAATTAAAGGGCTCTAAAAACGCTGCGTCTGCACGCTCGCTCGAGGCGCCCGGCGCGTGTTTTCCATGTGAAAAAGGTGCGTGGACGCTGCCGGGCGCGTGTCCAGCCGGCCCGGCGGGCTCGGGTTCGGCGATGTCTCGGAACCGGAACCATCAACAACAGGGAACTGGATACGGTTTCACAAACTCGGACAAGGGTGGGTTTTGCCATCGGAGCCACAGATATGAGGAAGCTGCTCTTTTATGACGAAATACTGCATTTTGATTTTTCTAAGACGTTTTTTTCTTTTTCTCTGAAGGAGCGCAAGAATGAGGATTAGTGCGACGCATCTGCTCGCAAGCAGTTGATTAAAACGTAGTACACCGAGCAGCAGGTCTGTGTGAGGTCGTCAGTCACTTCGCCCAAGCTACTTCGTATGCAGCGGTTTTGTTACACGTACTCGCGCGGTGCTCCATCTGCACACGAGTTCACGACACTGTGAGTCAGTGAGTGTTTTTTGGGGTCGCCATGGCGACGCCGACAATGGGGAGAGCCGGCGAGCCCTGAATGGAGCTGCGTGGCCGGTCAGGGGAAGGGGGGGGCGTCTCTTTAAATGGAGCGGAAAAGAAAGGGAAAGATTTTAAGAGACGAAGACGCTAAGCGCGGACGAAACTGAAAAGAGCACAAACAAACGTCGTGTGTGTGTGTGTTTCGATCGATGTGGGTGTATGGAAAGCGCCCGCGCAGCCGAGGGGAGTGCGAGGAGTGACCGGAACACGGGGCGTGGGATCGGGTCCGAGTCACGGGGGCGGGGCAGGGCAGGGCTGATCCCGGGGAGACCCTGTCTGAGAGAGCAGTCCAGCAGTACCAGCACAGCCGGGGGGTGACCCAGGCCAGCTGATCACGCCCACCAGGACCAGCTAGCTGGGGAGGGAGAGTCTCCGAGGGGAAGTCTGGGTCAGGTCTGAAGTGGGCACGTACTGTAGATCTTGTCTGGAAAACTCTTGTAGATCCAGGAGCTGCGGTTTTCCAAAATGGGCTCTAATTACAGACCTCTGACCCAGGGGCCTGTTTATGTGCAGTGTTTCAAGAATTACAGCCGGAATGCACATTGACATTAAAGTCTGGTTTGTTTCACTTGCCCAATGCCCAAAGTAAAAAACTGATGCCCAGGTTTGAAGTTGGTTTATTCGTTTTTTTGTCCATGTCACAGCAGTTACAGTACAGGCAGAACACCGGGTTACAATATATCCAGGAGCTCGGTACTGGAGAGTTTAGGTGTGATGTGTTTAGGGGGCCGCGGTGTGTTTAGGTGTTCAGGGAGAGCTGGGCTGTGGTGTGCTCAGGTGTTCTGGAAGAGCTAGGCTGTGGTGTGTTCAGGTGTTCTGGAAGAGCTACAGAAGGCTGTGGTGTGTTCAGGTGTTCTGGAAGAGCTAG